TCGATGGCTTAGTGGTTTAGGGGTTTAGGGGTTTGGGGCTTCAGGCTTGGAGGGCTTAGGACTTGGGGCTCTTGGGTCCACATCCCCACAAGCGCCATTCTGGGCCGAGGGGGGTGGAAGACCTCCATGGGCCCAGCGCCTTGGATCTGAAAGTCGTCAAGTCGGCAAATTTTTTGGGTTCCAGTGCGGCGATGGGTGGTTTTGGGATCTGCCGGGCCTCTTGGGCCTTGAGGTTAGGTGATAGTAGGGCTTTTGTACAGGGCTTCGTTCCCATTTCGAGCGTCTTGTCTGACTGGTTCGTGCCCATCTGCGGTTCAGGGCGTGGGGTTGCGGAGTAGCAGCTGCTCTCGACGAAAAGGGCGTCTTGCTATGTGTGGTCCTCAATCGGGGCAGCGAAACTTCCAAATAGGCGAAAACCCAATGTTGGGTCCTTCGGGCCACAAGACGATTCGCACATACTGAAAGGGGTCAGATTCAGGTAAAGCTCAAGGAACCCTTTGCTGAGCCCTTCGAAGCGACTCGCAGCAAGAACTTTGTATATCTTATCATTCTCACCGTCACATCATGATATGGGTAGTTGTCCAAGATTAGGGTCCCGTTTAGGGCCCTGTTCAGAAGGGTGCCGCACTATATTGGGGACCTAAGAAGGGACCCTAATTTAGAGAACTACCCATATGGGGGTTTCCGAAAACAGGGGACCCTCATACAGTACCCCAAAGGACCCCAAAATAGGGTACCCCTGAATTTCGGAAGCGCCGATATGGTCGCGATGCCCAGAAGTCCCCTTCCTTTTTGAGGGACCGGCTCGGAGGTTCTGGCAAAGCCCCGGGGAGCTCCTCCTAACTCTCGTAGGAGACCAAACAGTCTTGCGGGTTTGGGGTTTAGGGTTTGGAGTTTTTGGGGTTCGGTTTAGGGTTTAGGGTTTAGGGTTTAGGGGTTCGGGGTTCGGGGCGGGCACGGGATGCATGGCAGAAAGAGCGGAAAAGCCAACAATCCTGGATCTAAAGCCGTAAAACCTGGCTCTGCAGGCCTAGTCAAATGATCGAGCGCTCTAGGTCTCCCTGTATCGAAGGAGCAGACATGTCAATGTGAGCTTTGTAACATTACTCCTCCAGTGATGATGACTGCTACTGATCAAAACCACTCATGATACCACTACCACCAGCACCCACAACCGCTACGACTATGACGATTCCTAGAACTACAACCACTACCACTACCATTGCCACTACCAATACCAATACCGTTACCACTACCACTACCACCAACCCTAGTACGAGCACTAGCACTAACACCAGCACCAACACCAGCACTCGCACTAGCACCAGCACTTCTGCTACTACTTCTATTTCTATTTCTATGTCTACTTCTACTTCTACTTCTACTTCTACTTCTACTTCTTCTTCTTCTACTACTACTACTACTACCACCACCACTACTACTACCACCACCACCACCACCACCACCACCACCAAGATTCACAGGATGCATTCAACACCAAGAAACTAAACTCGCATCTTTCCAAACCGGCCGTCCCCAGTGCTCGACCAGGCTAGCAGGACACTGAGACTCACGATGTACAGCATGGGACTCATGAATACTCACCGGCTCGAATGAAACCTACATGACAGTTTGACTGGCTTGACCTGTGTTATGTACCTATATAGACCACTCGAAAAAGCAGGATCCTCATTCCATGGACCCCCTAGGAAAGGGCACCCCATCCTGCTACTTCGTCCCTGCATTGCCCCGGGACCCTCCTCTTCCTCCGAGGCAGTTTCTGCTTCTCTGCCTCTTGCGGAGCCCGAAAGCCGTCGGGGAGCGTGGCTTTCGGGTTGTTTTGTGTTTAAGGTTTAGGCTTTCGGGTTGAAGGCCCAGGGTTTGGTTTGCAGAGTTTTGGCGCTGGTTTCGGATTCTGGGGTTCCGAAACCGACTTTCGAAGAGCCAAGCCAGGGCTTTGAGCCTTGCAGCCCCAAGGAGACTTCTAGGGGACTTGTCGTAGGTGAGCAGAATGAAGAGAGGGTACAACGACACAAAGGAGCATCGCCACCACCGCAGATGCAGCAGCAGCAAAGTGATTCAATTTCCAGGGGGGACAACCAAAAAAGCCAACAAACCAACCGGACAAGCAAGCAAACTAAGAAGCAAGGATGTGAACAAAGGCAAAGTTCTACAAACAGCCAGACAGACCAAGCCGGCAGACGACGACAAGCAAAAGAGCGAACTGCCCACAACAAGAGCAGCTACACCAGAACCACCGCAACCATGAACCAAAAACCGCCACCGGCAAGATCAGCTGAACAGTATGAACAGCAAACAGATCACTACCAAAACCCGCCAAACTGGTGCAGCTGCGGCTTGAACACCCTCGAGGCACAACGGGAGCTGAACCCCAGACTCTCGGCCGGGCCCATCGTTTTTGAAATGTGTGAACTCTGATCTGGTCCCGTCATTTCCGACGGAAGCTCTTCCTTGTCCATCCCCCGGCCTGCCAACTGCTGCTGCCTTTTCAGGGCCTGGCGGGGCTCTGCTCTACACCCCGAACCCTGCCGAACCCCCGGGACAACTGTCAGTGATCCGCAAGCCAGTGCCCCAGACCTGGGCCAAAACCGCAAGCTGCCCCCTCCCGGCGCTGAAAAGCCTAAAGCCTAAACCCTAAACCCTAAAAGCCAGCAATGCAAAAGACTCCACCGCCTGACGCAGGCGAACCACGTAGAGCACGATCGCTGCCCCTAGGCCCCCGAACCTCAGAAGGCTTCCCTGGGCTTTGGGTTTTAGGAGAGTTTAAGGTTTAGGAGTAGGGTTTTTTAGGGGAGTTTAAGGTTTAGGAGTAGGGTTTTAGGGGAGTTTAAGGTTTAGGAGTAGGGTTTTAGGGGAGTTGAAGGTTTAGGGTTCGGACCTTAGGAAGCTTATAAGATGGAGCTTAGGGTTTAAGGGCTTGGCGCTAGGGGTTGAAACATCATGGCTGTCGCCTGCCAACCACGCCACGGTGTAATCTATACCATCCTATACAGTATACTACACTGTACTGTACTATGCTGTACTCTACGACTCTCTCGGTAGAAAAAACTGCGTTGAACCAGATTATACTGTACCAGGAGCCTTGGGACGCAGAGGGATCCAGAGCCCCTCGGGCCGTGGGGTTCCTCCTTTCAGTGCCTGGGGATTCAGGGTTGTGGGGCTTAGGATGAGGAAGGGACTTTCTTTGTGGAATCAAGTCAGGTGCATCTTAGCTAGCATCTCCTCAGTCTTTGCTGGCTTTTTTAGCCCTTCCATTGGGCTTGAAGCTAGCAAAGATGCTGAGACAAGACAGATAGTCTACGGGCCTTGGTCATTCGAACAGGGTTTTGAGTTTTGGGGTGCATTGTAGGATGATTCCTCACTCAGGCTCCTAGATTCGCGCTATCACGATCTTCAGCTTCCCGGTCTGAGATTGGAACAAAGAGGTCCAAAGCCATGGCCGGTTCCATGAGGAAAGCATGGCCGGCTCGCTGGGCCAGGAGGGATGTCGCAGCTTGGGCGTTGAGGCTGGTCGACTTGCTTTTTTAGTGGGTTCTTGTGGGGCTTCTTGATTTGAAGGATCAACTTTATGGCCTTGAGCCTTTGGGGTTGAGGGCTTCGGGGAGTAAGGTCTGTGGGTTCGCGAGGGTAGCTGAGATTCAGAACTTGGAGCGTGTTTCGCATGCTCCTGGAGTGATTTCTCTTCCTTCTTCGTGCTCCTACGATCGGTTCAGGGTTTAGGGTTTAGGGGTTTAAGGGTTTAGGGGTTCAGAGTTTCAGGGGTTGAGGGTTTAGGGGTTCAGGGATTTTGGGGTTTAGGGGTTTAGGGCTATCCACGGGCTAAGGCAGCTGTAGCAGCCGAAAGCATCGAGGAGCGATTGCTTGTATCAAGGAGCGCCACGACATCTCTGCAAGCTAGGAAGCTGCTTGCACACTCTAAACCCTGAACCACACACTGCAACTCTAAAGCCGGAACAATTCCCGTGTATCTACTTGTACTGGAAATCATCTCGAAACCGTTTTCTAGCTCTAAAGCCCAAATCCCCACCTCCCGAACATACTCAAAGGATCACGGGACTTGGGAGTTCGGGAAGGTAACTAGACTTGTGAACACTTGTAACCACAACTAAGACACTTACAAACCCTGCTCACTAAGCCTTACACTAAGCCCTTTACACCCTCCCACAACCCTGTAGAACGCTTGTAGCACTTTACGTAACCTAAAGTCCCATGATCCTCCAAGTAGACTCGAGTCCAATGCTCTGGAGAAGGCACGGGAGGGCTTTCAACTGAAAGCCAATGTGCCGGGATTTCTTTAACGGGCTACTATCGGGATTACCATAAGGGATTACAGGGGCCTTGTAACGATTTCATTTAAAGGGTTACTCTCAGGATTACCATAGGGGATTAAGGGCCCTTATAACAATAGAACAGAGTGTTGGGGTAAGGAAAGGAAGGAGATCTTTATGCTCATCCTCCTAGGAATCCTTGTGGGAACTCTGGTGTAACCCTGAGTAGCAGGCCATAAAGGAACCCTTACTCTCATCTGTATAGCAACCCTTCTGACTTCTGGGAGCCTGGAACCCTAAACCCTAAACCCCTTTACTGGAGCCCTCATACAAAGCTCCCACAGCTTTCACAGGAAACCTGAAGACTTCATCCTTGTTTTTGCGGGATCGGAAACGGCGGAAGAAGGCCAAAGTCGGTTGGGGACACGGCATGCTTCACGCCCACGTCCTAGGCACATCTGCTGTTGGTGCATGGTCGCAGCATCATCACCGTCTGAGATGCTCCCGCCGCTTTTGGAGTGCTCCTTCTATAGCCCGGTGCGATCTCACAGAAGAGCCTGCACGAACTTCCAGGACGGGCTGGTGCTCCCGCCAGCCTTGCAGTCGGATGAGGGAATCCTTCTACACCTCCAAAAGCTGCCTGGGCTGAGCTCTTGCCCTGGCTCTGAACTCTGAAGCTCCCTCTCCTTAGGGGAAAGAGAAGCATCCAGTTCACCGTCGTCGTCCCCGGCCACCCTTGCTTCCTTTAGGCTTCCTCTTCCCCGGCCTTTCCTCCGGATCTTCCTGGCATTGCAGCAGCTTGGGGCTCTGGAGCTCGATCTGGAGAATGGCCCGGCGACCCGAGGTCACCGGGGAGATCCAATGCTCACACTGGTGGCCGTAGAAGAAAACGGCATCCCCCGTCTGCAGGACCACTCGCCGCTTCTGTGGCGCGCCTTTGAAAAAGTTTGCACCTCCCTGAAACTCAGAGGGATCTGAAAGCAGAGCTACTAGAGACACCATAGAGCCATTGTCATTGTGCTTCGCGATCTTCCCTTCGCAGCCCAGCTTCTCCACGTCGTACTCGATGTACTCGATTTGGGGCAGCGTGTAGTCCAGGGGTCCCAAATTCTTCCAAATCTGCTGGTCCACGGACCACGCAGTGAGCAAGAGCTTCTGGTACCTTGCAGCTCGGGCCTGGGGAGGCCATGGGTTTAGGGTTTAGGGTTTAGGGTTTTAGGGCTTTAGGGTTTTAGGGTTTAGGGTTTTAGGGTTTTAGGGTTTAGGGTTTAGGGTTAAGGGGTGTTAGGGTTTAGGGTTTAGGGTTAGGAAAAACGCACCGCCGTAGACGGTGTTGGATTTTTGCGGGTTGGGGATTTGGGGGCGCAGGGGTTCAAGTTCAGGGGTTTTCCTGAACTTTACGGGTTCAGGAGAGTAGAACGGAAGTTCACCTTCTCCCTTGCCAATCCCAAGAGCAAATCCAGATCGACTTCCCTCAAGGCAGACTCAATGCGTCGGACGTAATGGGTGAAGATGAGGCCCTCATGGCGGTCCTTTTTACCGGTCTAGCGCTTTAAAGGTCTAAAGGGCGGGTTTAGGGTTTAGGGCCTAAGTTTAGGGATTTAGGGTTTGGGAGCTTAGGGTTTATAGGGTTATAGGGGGTTAGGTTAGGGTTCCAGGGTTTAGGGGTGTAGCGTAGTTAGGGCTTAGGGGTGGTCCTTGACCTCCCAGGAATTGGCATGACCGGCGACGGCATTCAGAGTCTCGATCTCTGCATCCTTGGCCCACCCAGGACCAGGAGAGGGAGGGAGAGGTTCTTCGCCAGGGCTTTAGCTTGTGCCTATGAGCACGCAGAGGTGTTGCGTGCGCTTTTTGAAACCTGCCTGCAACTAAACCAACATCAAAAAAGGGTACACTACATGATCCTCGGGCTTCCTGCCCCTCGAAACAGAGCAAGCAAAGCTAAGCCTCAGTGAGAAACTTCGGCAGCACGCCGATGGCAAGATTCGGATTCGGCCCCGCGACCTGTCCAGGCGTCACATCAAGAGACTAACATGATAAAGGGTTTGAGACTTCTGCCTTCGACTTAAACATGGGCTTAGAGCTTGGGATTGTGTCCGCTTGCTCCCGATGGAGAATGCGACAACACTGAAATATTGATCTGTTCGACGGGCCCCGGGACCTGAAAGTGAAAAAGGTAATGAAGTTCCACAGTGCTTTGCATGGTTGCTAATTTCATCACTTGCTCATCTCAACTTAGCTATCTTCATGAAAACGGAGTTGACCCACAGAAGACCATGGCACCAGTCTTAGACCGACTTTTGTCCAAACAACGTACTTTGTCCGAAACAATGTGAAACAATCACATGAAACATCGCAAAGATGATGCCAAACTTGCTTGCTCGGCTCCTGCTCCAACTCTTCAAGCTCAGGCAGGGTAGCATGCCGTGGTGACCACGCAACCTTTTTTGGCTACAACCACATGTCCACATACTGATTTGTAAGCAGTTCTTTCCAACATTGCAAAATGACAAAACCACCAAAATGCGAAGGCGAAACAACATTATTGATATCCACCGAGCAGCTGTTGGCAATTTTGCGGCCGCAAAACCAGCTTGTTGCGTGCAATGCAACAAAGCCACAAAAATCGTAGACCCAATCCCCAACTGCTTCCGGAAGCTGCAGGTGGGATGTCCAGACACTAGAATCCGGCGATTCATCGCAGCAAACGATCGGGCGTGTCAATCAAGCCAACCACCAACCGAAAACTTGTGTCCGGCTGAAGCTACTCCCTTTTCTACATTCAACATGAGCTGTTTTCAACAACCACATGCCGCAAGCTCCGCAGATGAGAAAGAGGCTTTTTTGAAAAATTCAAACAGCGCTTGCTATGAAATTTCGATGTCTACAACATGGATTAATCTCAAATATCTCACATCCTGCAACACATATCATTCTTGGCCCAAACATTCATTTCGTTTTGCAGTCCAAAACAACAATCAGTCCATGCCCTGTCAATTTGCAGTTCCTGCATGCGCAAGCGCAGAAGTTAGATTTATATATGTTCTCCCTCTATTGCTGGTCGCTTGGAACATCGGCTTTTCGTGCCGTGCACACGGTGTGTTCTGTTGAGACTTTGGCAGTGCACCTTGTCGAGCTTGAGAATGTGCCCAATTTTGTTCACTGCGAAATAACAAGCCCTGACAGGTCCTTGGACGCATCAAGGATGAGGTTCAGAAATCGGGTTTTCAGGGTTCGGAGCTTATGTCGGGCACGGCGCTTATCCTTCCTGCCTCCGCCCCACTCCTCCCCCCCCCCCTGGCCTGCTGTGTTAGAGGTGTCAGAAAACTTTTTGAGTTCTGACATACCCAAGAGCGTTGCAGTTGCTTCGAAACTGCTCCAGAAGGCAGGGAGGCACTTGGACACCTGCCAAGGCTGCTTTACATGACATAAAACTGAATTTCAGGTGCTGCTGCGGCGAGAGAATCTGAGTCGAGGACTGGCTGAACGGCGCTCGGAGCGCTAGCTTGGTCGTCATATCATGCAGCAGATGTCGATGCTGAAGCCTGCGCCCGTCAGATCAGGCATGAGCGGCAACTAAGTCATGATCATCTTGGACCCATCTTCTTTTCCAAGGCCTTCAGCATCGCGGAGTTCTTCGCTTGCCTGGCAGCCGCGGCCACTCATGATGCCCGCGCTGCAGAAGCAAGCAACTCTTTTGAATATTCCAAATATAGTAGTCTTGGTAGACACGAAACACCCAAAGCCAACAGTGCGTGGCACCTTATTTCGCCTACGCGCGACTCTTTAGCGACGGGATGTGTCGGGTCTCTATGCTCCAAGCTGCAACAAGCTCCACCTCACCTCTAGTATAGCCTCGCTCGCTCAAGCAATATACGGTTTGAGGCGGCCACCCGCCGAAGCAGGGCCTCAAGTCTGGTTTGTCGTTCGCCATCGCTGCTTCCTGCAGGCAAGATGCGCCCGAAATGGCCTATACATGTCGTCTCCAACGGTGCCGAGATTTTCAAAGACCGAGCAGATTGTGGTTCCACCACGCATGGCTGCTTGCTGCAAGCGTGGCTTGGTGAGGGCCTCTCTTCTAAGCCCGCGGCACACACCATGCCAGGAAAAGAAAGTGAGGTGACCTGCCGAAGTCTTTAAAGTGATGAACTTCCAGGTAGCGCAGCTATCAGAGTTCTTTCGGATATGCCAAGTGTCCCCCTTCGGGGCCTCGGGAGCTGCGGAGCTGGGGCGGTTCAGGGTTCCAAAGGGCGCAGGCCTCAAGAAAACCTCCAAACCCTCCGGTTGCCTGTGGCTCTGCTTGGAGGTTCATGGGTAGTGATAAGTGGGCTTATAAGTCCCCTAATTTGGGTTATAACTATAGTTACGCTATTTATAACTCCACTTCGCCGGAGACCTGCGGGGCCCGACGGGATCAGGGTCCGTGAGCCCCGACCAGTTGTGGACAATCTTCAGTCCCTACCTGAACTCAGGGCTACGTAACTTTTTTCTCCAAAAAAGCCTCAATGCCTGACTTCGGGCCCCATGAACAATATTGTCTATCCATCCCTCTCACTCCAACGCCCCTTTCTGGGAGGCTGTTAGAAGGAGTTTAGGGGGTTGTGTGATCCCAGCACCTGCAGTCGCCCCCACACCCTCCGAGAGTAACTGCCAAAGAAGGGTCTGAAGGCTGAATCCTGCCCCCGACACCGTAAATGCCCGACTCTGAGAACTCTGCCCTACTTCTCGCCAACGCTGCACCCTTGCACGGAACCCACCCGTGAGCATGGGGTCTCGGCTTAGGGCCACGTAGCCCAACATCGGAAGGCCGCAGGTTGTTTTGTCATAAATCCCGGGGTTCTAGAAGCCGCATGAACCTAGGAACCGCGAAGGAATTCGGATCCGGGTTCAATGATTAGGGCTCGAGGTTTTGTAGGTGTACAGGGTCCAGGGGTCCAGGGGCAAAGGGCTGAATATGGCTTAGTCCGAACCTCCAAAAAAAAAAACAAGGACTCCCCTAATTACAGCACGAAACCCTACAAGGATTTGGGATCCCATTCGCCTCGGTACGCTTTTGCACGTGAAAATCCGCAGTCCCCATGCTCTACACCTGTACGCCCTGATACTTCAACCCGTCATGCACCTGGTCCAGGCCAGGAAAGCAGGCGGGGTCGGACGCGGTCGCAGGGAACTCCCCCCCCCCACAATCACAAGCAGGCGGAACTGGAAGCCGTCATTGGGCTGCAAAGGCATCAGGGTTTAGGGTGTAGGGTTTATAGAGGCTGATAGGGTTTATTAAGGGTTATAGGGTTTAGGGTTTATAGGGTTATTTGGGTTATAGGGTTTTCAGGCTGCATGTGCTACTACCTGGAAGTCCAAGCACACCCTGCGCTGGTGTACGAGACCATGCCTGTGAACAGGAGCGGCGCGAAGAGATTTCGGTGGACGAGTCTAAAGGGTTCCCCGGGATACACTTAGCCAAGTCTCGTCGATTCTGGTCGGGATTTGCTGGACAATTAAGGTTGTGCTGTGCGCCATGCGGTGTTCGCAGGTGCAGATCAGAGTTGCGAAGATTCATTTTCTCTCTGGGAAAAATTTGGGAGACTAGTAACCAGCACTGTGCACAGCAAACTAAGTTCTGCTAGTTTAGTTCTATGCAACTGCGTCATCCAAAAACGGGGGGCGACGGGGAAAGATGAGTTTAGGGTCTGTCGCGGAGCCTCCCCACTCCGACGAGCGCAGCATCAATCGACCCCGCTGTTGCAAACTGGAACTTGGGCTTTGGGTTTAGGGTTTAGGGTTTAGGGGCAGTAACTGCTCAACCCCGGATTTGAGCTACGTCAAAAAAAAACACAGCATTGGTTCTGCTGCTCTTCCCCTAACCCCGAACATGATGAGCTTGAGAGGCCTGCCTTCGGTTTTGTCATCGAGCCCAAAACACGCTCGAGCCTACACCTTCTTAGGGAAGGGAAGGGGAAGGGCTTAACAGATAAAGCTGACAAAAGCGCACACAAACTTTTTCATCGATGGGCGTGCTGCTAATTCGACCGGAGGGGGTGAGATGGTTTATGCATCCCTTTTTCGAGGGTATGCAACACCGGAAGATGTTGGATGGCGACGGGAGTGGGGAAGGAGGATCTAGAAAACCTCCAAACTCCTTGATGCTTTATGCATCCCCTTCTTTTGGGGGTATGCAACACCGGAACTCCTCTTGATGTTTATGCATCCCTTTTTTGAGGGTATGCAACACCGGAAGATGTTGGATGGCGACGGGAGCGGGGGAGGGCGGTCTAGAAGATCCCTTCAACTCCTTGATGGTCTATGCATCCCCTTCTTTTGGGGGTATGCAACACCGGATCCGGAGATGTTGGATGGCGACGGGAGTGGGGAAGGGGGAATTAGAAAACCCCGAAACTCCTTCATGGTTTATGCATCCCCTTCTTTTGGGGGTATGCAACACCGGAAGACGTTGGATGGCGACGGGAGCGGGGGAGGGGGATCTAGAAGATCCCTTCAACTCCTTGATGGTTTATGCATCCCTTTTTTGAGGGTATGCAACACCGGAAGATGTTGGATGGTGTTGCTTCGCAATGATGTCAAGGGCTGCGCTTACGGGCACCTGTCTACGCCCTACCTCTGGAAATAAGGATGCGTCGCGTGCCGCCAGGACGACATGCTACAAAGCCCATGACAACAAAGGCGGCTTATCATGACAGCTACCCACATGACTGCACCTACTAAAGAATCCATGCACCTCTGTTCACTGGCAAGAGAGGTTTAGGTTAGGTGGTAGCAAACATCTGCAGGATGTCATTCTGGCACACTCCCGCCAGACTTGACAAAGCACAGGTTGGACAAGATTCGAAATCCCAGCTTTCACGTGGCGACGCAGGCAACGCAGAGCAGCACCACTTCTAAGCCGCGACATGTTTGCAGGCACGTTTATGCAAAGGGGAGGTGCAGCCACCCACTGGCGACGTGCCGCAACATAGCTCACGTCTCTGTCGGACTACGTCCTTCGTACACTGGTTTCCGCATCGTGTCGACGCTGCCGACAATGAAAGGGTCAACTAAATTGTAGTTTGTGCAGAATTTGACAAACCGCCAGCTAGTAGCTGATTTCAAGATTGCGGCCGACTTGCGGTAACTCTTGACTCTACATGTACTAATGCAAGCACAGGCAGGGCACAACTTGCCCTGCAAACTTAACTCCTTGGACCAACCAGAAGTCAAGCAGCCAATTGCGTGAGCTGTCCTTACCCACCCGCGCCTGCGCGGCATGAAGCAGGATGGAGGCAGGTTCGGTTCTCTTTTCGCGCTTCGAAAGTGCAAGGCTTCGCACGCGGAGTGGCGTGCACATGAAACTTTCGCGCTTCACATGGGCACTCGCTGGTCATAAGCCGGAGGAGATGGCCACTGCAGGGAAGGGCACATGCGTAAAATAGCGCGCCGCCCCGATGAATCCGCTGTGTGGGCAAATTCACTTCACGGCAAGCAACGGTGGCGTGAAACGTTCAAGACCGAAAAGGCACTTCCCCCAACGTCAGGTGATGGATCTCTGCAGCAGTGACAGCCAAGCCCTCAGATGAAAGCTTCAGGCTTCGGGTTCCGTAGGCTCTTCAGGGCAGCCATGGCCACAGGATGCTGCTGAGAATCTACACAATAGGAGCATCTCCAGAGATGCACTGTCGCCATCCCGATCTTGCCCGAGGGCCGAAGG